TAGTGGTGGTAGGTGTGATGAGGGTGAATAAGAGTTGGTGGCGACAATGGTGGGCGATAACAAGTGGTGGTGGTAGGTGCGGTGAGGGAGGGTAACAATGGGTGGCGACTGTGGTGGGCAACAACGGGAAGTGATGGGCAACAATGGTGGCAATGAGCAACGGTGGTGGTGGGATGATGGTGGTATTGATAATAAATATAAGAATGAGATGATGGTGGTGGTGGTGTAGTGGCCGGTGGTTGTCACACCCCATCCTGAGAGACCCCTTCGATTTTTTAAAAATGGAAGCATAACTCAACATGAGGTAATACTTGCGTCTATAATGCAATAACGCATTTAAAATCAATAATCTCACTTAATAACACCAAAAACAGATAAGTCATATAACATAGTACATTACGGTGTTGTTTGTACCAAAATAAAACATTAGGGATTCCATCCCTTTACAACAATAGGGAAAACAAATACTCTTGTACAATATGTATATAAACTTGATTCCTTTGTTTTCCTTCATCTCTACCATTCTAGTGCAGTAATGGACCCCGCTCTAAACTTTGACATCGTGAAAAAAAATAATTTTCTTCAGTGTACTGAAAATTACAATCAAAAAAAATATAACAAAAGCATGGATCAAATAATTCCACAAAAAAGATACTCATAACCCATAAATCAGAACCAAAGTGAACTTAAATCACTTTGAAACTCGAATCAGCCTCATATATCAAAATAATAAATATCCACATAAGCAACGAGTCAAACAACAACATTTAAGCAATGTCAAGTTGTCTGATAACAACTGCGCAGTGTCCAAACCAACAACGTGTAAGTCATATCAAGCTATAAACAACTCGACATAGTTGATAACAATCAAATCTCAAGTTTTTCATAAAAGCACATTTGATCTATTGTTTAAGCAACACACCCCAAATCAATTCATCAAAAACTTTATTTCACATAGTAAAAAATAATTCATAGATCATATACTTTTATTTTCAATTATTATGAAATAGTACACTTCACCTTTATCGCTGACAAATATTCATCCCCACTTTACGGATGATCCCTATGTGCAACCAAGGTAGTAACCTCCAACCCTAATAATTAGCATATGTACAAATGTAAGTGATCGTCGACCCTAAAATTACTTAATTGATACAAATGAATGCATATGAACATGTATTTGATGTTTTACTTTGGTTGTATACAATGACCAAACTTAAACTTCATTAATCTTTTTAAATGAGTATATCCCGATCACATTTAGGAACCACTATAATTCACTCTAATATTTCTTACAATATTTAAATAATACCATTCATCTAAAATGTAATTTATTACCCTTAAGCCAAAAGTTTTAGTAGGTATAAAGTAATTACAACCCTTGTCTGTAATAGCATGATATTATGTTGATTTTTAGCATTGAAGTATAATGTTTAAACTGTTATCAATGATACACAACTTATAAATCACGTGTTCGATCATTTGGTTTCAATTCTAACTACTATAATCACCCTACCAATTTCTAACTATTATTTTTCAACACTTGAGGAAGCTATTTTCAGCTTTTAAATAAAAATTCCAGCACTAACTACAATTTTACAGCTTAATTTTAGCACTAGATTCACCCATTTATTTTTATTAATTAATTTCAACAATCTAAATATACAACTCAATAATTTTAAAAATCAAATTTTAAATAATATATCAAGCTTGAAAATGCTTAGTTCCAACAGCTACACCCTTTAAAATTTTCTATGGTATACTAATACCTAGCAATTCTTATATATAAAACATGTACATGAAAATAAATAATCATAATCTCGTCAAATTCTTATATTAAACCATTACTGCGGTATCAATTCAAGACTAAAGAAAACAATTAGAACATGAATATTGAATTATGAAATATTTATTTCGCATACCTATTCCTGAATTGGATCCGATAAATTTGTGTTTTACGACATCATGAGTAATATGCTCAATTTTTATAACAATTAAAATAAATTTAACCGTTGAATATTCAATATTCAATGGTGGTGGTGGTAGCAATTGGTGGTGGGTGACGATGGCAATGGTAGTTGTGGTGGTAATGGTTGTGATGGCAGTGGTGGTGGGGTGGTGGTGGGGTGGGGGTTGTGGTGATGGTGGCAGCGGCGACAGTAGTGGTACTAAAGTGTTTTGTAGAGAAATAATTTTAAAGTAGAAGTTTTTTTTTTTTACTTATTCAAACTAACTTTTTTTTTTTTTTAGAGGAGGGAGGGGACTTGAACCCTTGATCTCAAGAAGACAAACACACCCTTAGGAAGCCAATTTTTCCTATTAAATTTGAAGTGTTAATATTAGTCATATGATTAACTTTAAAGTAAAATTTAAAACGATCTTGACTGCGAAAAAGAAAAAGTCATTTTTTATGTTATACTTTTTGGGGGGAGGAGAGGAGGAAACTTGAACCATTGACCTTAAGAAGGTAAAACCTTCACAAGATAAAAAGTACCATTAAACCAAAAGTCTATCTGATTATGTTATACTTTGTTATATAGATATACTAGTCATAACCTGTGCCTGAAGGCACGATAAAATATATAATTCGAATGTCCAAAAAACAATCCCACTATATTAAATTTTTTCAACATGTGTATACTATTGTTTATAAATAATGTTTGAAATAAAAATTATATTAACTACAAATTAATTAAATATTAAATTTATTAAACATATGATAGAAATGAGTATTGTGATGTTTGTAAGGAGGAAATATATAAATGATTAAATATGTGATAAAAATGAGTGATGCGACTTGACGTTTGAGTCTGATAGAGGGATAATGGGTGAGGTAAGTGATTGGTGATAGTTTTGAGGGAAAAATATGACTGGGATAAAATTCAAAGTATAAGCTGTTTTATTATATAGATTAGTTATTGCCCGTATATGAAGGCATAAAATAATAAAAAAAATAGTCAACAATAAACACACTCAAAATCAAATCACAAACATAGAGGAGAGAGAAAGAAACTTAAGCACCAGTTGTAGTGGGGGGTGAGCGGTGAGAGCGGCGATGGGCAGCAATGGCTGTGGTGAGAGACAGTGGTGGTTATGGTGGGCAGCGAAGATCGTGGCAATGGTAACAACCGTAGGTGATAATGGTGATGCTGGTGGTGGTGGTGGTGGATCTTGGGTGACAATAGTGATAGTGGCAACCATGGGTGATGGCGGTGGTGGTGGTGGGTGTGGGTGGTGATAGGTGACGGTGATGATGGTTGGTGGTGGTGGTGGTAGGGTGACGACGGTGGTGGGTTGTGGTAGTGGATGGTGATGATTATGGTTGTGGGAGACAACAGGTGTTTTTTGGGCGATAGTGTGATGGGTGGTCGCGAATGGAGGTGGTGGTGGTAGGTGTGGTGGGAATGGGTGACAGTGGGTGGTGGCGGTGGTGGGCGATGACGGGTGGTTGGTGGTGGTATATGTGGGTGACAGTGGCTGGCGGCGATGATGAACGACGACGGGTGGTGGTGGGTTGTGGTAGTGAGTGGTGGTGGGCAACGATGGTAGTGGTGGATGTTGGCGATGGGCGACAATGGTAGCGAAATAATGGTGGTAATAATAATAAATATAAGAATGAGATAACAATGGTGATAAGTAATAACGGTGGATGATGGTAATAACAATTGGTGGTGGGTGGTGATTGTGGTGGGGCAATGGCAGTGGTGGTGGGGTGGCAATAGTTGTGGTGGTAGTGGTGATGGCGGTGGTGGTGGTAGTGATGGGGTGGTGGTAGTGGAGGTGGTAGTGGTGATGGTGGCGGTGAGGCGATGACAGTAGTGGTAGTGGTGATGGTGGTGGGCAGTGGAGGTGGGGGTAGTTGTGATAGTGGGTGGCGGTGGTGGTGGTAGGACGGTTTCAAACGCTATATTTTTTTTAAGTACTTATGTTTGATTATAGATTAAATCGGATAATCGAATCAAATGTCTAAATATAAACATATTCGATTATTGACTAATATTTTTCTATTCGTCGGATAAATAGATTGGATTCTGTAACGAATTTTTTAATTAAATTTGGATTGACCCAAATGCAATCCGAATCTGATCCATTGACGGACCACCAATATTAAAGTTAATTAGAGATCACCCATCAATTTGTTTGTAATTCTTAGTGTAACAAGATCGTACCCAATCAATTTTAAATGTCACAAGGAAGATGAGGAAATTTTGTTGATTTTAAGCCTAACAAAACTTATATCCACTATTCTGTTGACACTTGATGATCTTTCAATCAAAACCTTTCCCTTGCCCAAGCTAATACCACCAGATCCATCTAATCATTTGTTTTTGTCTTTTTTTTTTTTTTGTTTTTTAGAATTTTGCTTTCTCAGCTGTTCCTTTAACATGTACCTTTCGATTAAACAAACAAATGGGTTGGTCTTGTGACCAGATGACGGATGACCTTGACCCCGTGTCCGTGTGTGTGTGTGCGCGCGCGAGAGAGAGAGAGAGAGAGACCATGGACTTCTGCCATTAAACTAACGCAACATGGACTTCGTAATGCAGTCAATTGAATAAAATTTTACTCCCCCGTATGAAACCGGTGGATATTTCTACACTAGCACAAACAATTCATCGGTACAAGTTTGGTTACTTTTCCAAATTCCCAGCGAATAACTATCTTTTACATAGATTACAATGAAATTGTTCAATTTCAGTGCTCATAATAACAAGCATAACTGCATAATCTGTATCAAACACGAAAATAAAACAAATATCCTTGCAGATTATACGCTGTATGCATATGCAACTTGGCAAGAGTTTCCTCAGGTTCAATCGTCAAGCTACAACCGAAAAATAAGTATTCACATAACAACTCAGACTTTCTGTCAAATTCTAGATTAGATAAATGTTGTAGCTTTGCAAGTGGAGTTTTCCATTTCCTTTTCCCTAGTCTACTTTCCCTGATAATCTTATTTTATGAATTGAACTTACAGAAATAATACACTTAATATTTCACTACCACTCATCTTCGAGGCTAGCGCGATGAAAACACAAAACAGTGAAGACGAATATGATGAAGGAAGTAAATTCAATAAACATGGCTTGAGTCCCAATCAAATCTGCATGCCTGAGTATGATGGGAATCGCTATACTCCCCACAACCGATGCCCCTGTTAAGAACTTAGCCGCGTCTATCCAGCTGCAGTAATAAAGATGTACATATAACGTTAAAAAGGTATAAATATGAAAGAAATACAAAGAAAATAAGAAAGAAACAGAGAGCAGAAACTTATCAAAGTGATACTACTAAAAAGACACTTTGTAAGCATCAAGAATCACAGAATTACAGGGTAACAGATCATGGCTATGCAATCAATCAGGTTTATTTTGGCCCTTTTGGGTGACGGTACATGTAGAAGCATAAACCTTATTAAAACACAAAACTTGGTAACAAGGACAGGTATCTAAAATTCCTTAGAATGTACATATGAATATATGATGTCTAAGCAAAATAGAAATTTCCCCATTGGCACAATACACCATTAACGATACACTAGCAAGCACGGATACAAACACAGGGATACGACAAAATTCAAAAATATAGGATACAGGTATGATAAAGATACGGCTATTAAAATAATATAATATATTTTAAATAATAATAGAGTTGTAATATATTAAAAATAAAGCATATATTATAACAATTTTAATAATAAGACCTAGCAAATATTATTTTTTTGATTAAAACCACCATTTTCATCAAACATCATTGCATTTATTAACATTCATAATATATAAGTTATATAACAAAAATATATTAAAAAAAAATTAAAAACACACACTTCTTTTAATAGTTAAAAGTTGTTTTTTTGATAAAAAAAATTCCTGGCATGTGTCATGACCGTATCCTAGCCGTGTCCAATTAAATTCACTATTCAGAACACTTCCAGTCGTGTCGGACACGTTTCCAGTGCCACGACACCCCTCCTGAAAGTATCAGTGCTTCCTAGACGATACAACTGGTATGCATAAAAGCAAAACATTCTAGTGTGCCAAAATGCATTCTTCTTTTCCTTGAATGGGAATGCTTGTTGAATGAGTTTGTAACAGGCACGGTAAAAAAAATGTACTGAAAACAATGTCATTGTTCCAAAATCAATGCTTCACACATTTTGGGCTAATGTGTGTCATTGACAGGAATGAATTTGTCTATGTAACCAAATTTTCTTCTATATACCTTTGGTTGGGTTGGAACCACATCTTAGTACAGGGACTACTCATTTTGACATATTTGAAATAATGCATAAAGAAAACTGAAAATTTCAAGTGAGGCAGGATGTGTGTCTCTATTCCTATGCTGGAAATGCATATAGGACTTTGTGTTTGAAATCTGTTAAACAGATTTGGACCATGAAGTAAATTCGTGGTCCACTTCCATATCAAAACCAGTGTCATGGTGTTTCCCACCCCAGTACCTACACATTTTGAGCTGCTTGTCAACACGTTTTCTCAAAGCGCAAACGAATAATTTTATTTCTTTCGGTAACTGATGTGACAAAGAAAAGAACAATGCTTTGAGTGATGAGATACCCACCCACCACCATCCCGACTGATTAAGAATTGAGTGGACCCACCGCCAAAGAACATACAAGGCATCGGCACCAGAACATACATGAGAGCTGCAGGAACAAGTAATTTTTTTCAATTATCAACCTTATGAATGCAAACCTAAGTCACAGTGATACAGAACATCTTGCAGTATGCCCACAAACCTGACAACATTGGCCACCAGTTGTTATATATTGCACAGGCCTGCGAAGCAGAAAAAGTACATAAAACAATGAAAATGAGAATACATCTGCCAAGTAGTTGTCATGCCTAAAGACTCACACGACCCACTCTAACAGGCCTTTTTCTTTGTTTTTCTTTTCCTATTTCTAATGAGTAAAGAGAGCCTAGCCAATTGCTAAAGTCCCCGAAATTGACCAACTGAATTAAGAGTAGCTCAAGCTAAAACTGAACTTGAACTAAACTCCACTTGCCAAATCTTTATTCGTACAGTCCAACGGAGGCTGAGTTTGTTCACAAATGTAAAGTACAAAACTCTCTCTGTGGACTTAAGTTATGCAAGATCTGAAGATATTCATCTTGATGACTGACAACAATGCCGAATTGTCAAACAAAGAAAGAATGTGACATCAAAACCTACCAGGATCTGTAGCAGAATGCTAGATGAAAACATAAAAGCAAGCCCGGCAAGCCTGCATATTCACATGTTTTATCAGAATTTTAAATTAAGAATCAACTCAAATCAAATATAAAGTCAACACTTGTCTTCCCAACTTACACTGCAGAGGACAGGCGAAGCAGCAACAGTTCAGCAATACCACAGCAGCGGAACAGAAAACAATTAATACCACACAGTAAAAATGAAATCGAATAAGAAATAGCAAACATAGATATATAGCAAAAATTCTAACAAAAATGTAGCTAAGCAGAGGAAGCAATTCCCTTCTGGATTTATCTCAATTATAACCGTTAATCAGGGTGCCCAATTTCCCTATGCTTTAACAGTCCGTGGGTACAACTAGGGAATTATGTGATTTCCAGTAATCACTTAATAAAAAAAAAAGAACAATGGATGAGCACATAGAGCTACTTAGTCTCTGGCAAATTGCTAATAATCTTAATCCAGAAACTGCCAAGAGAAGATAGGAATTGGAACATGAACCTAAAATAGAGCTACAATACTTTCGGATGAAGAAGAAGTTTTATGTAACAATCCTCGCACACTGTTAAGAAATGGAGAAGAAGAGTTTTAAGAATTGAGAGAAAAGAAGATCTATTCTCATTGCTTTTCTGTGAACAATTACATCATCTATTTATATACAATGTGCATCACCTAAGCTCTTTCATTACACGAAGATAAATAACAAACTCCTATCTATCTCTAACTAATTTGCCAGCTCAGCCTAACTAACTCAATGGACTGAACTGACTGAGCTTTCTTCTTCTATGTTGCAGCTGCACCATATGGTCTTTACTCACTGCTGCACTTCTTCAGTGTGTTCTGCAGCTGCATTCTTCTTCAATACACACAAGGGAACGAATCAACAAATGTTGTCTCTAGCAGGGTTCCCTATAGACTAATAATACTTTGATCATGAACATTTTGATTCAAAATCTTCTTTACTTCTATGTACTAGGTATGGAATTTCAGTTAGTAAAAAAAAAAATGGAATTTAAATTAGTATTTCTAAAACGAATAAATCGAAAGAGTAGTTCTTTTCCCCCAAGGGAAACCCAATTTGGAATTGAGACCCAACCGGGATTAAACGAATATATAAACAAACGCACCCCCAGTAATTACACAGAATTGACAAGCTTGCCAGAATATAGTGGCGGTTCTTTGCTTTGCTCTATGACTTGGTGATTCACTGATATCGCGATAAACTAAAACCTGGATTTTTGCTAATCTAAAGCCACCAGAATTGAATTGACATATTCAAGATGCTACGCACGAACATTTTGATCCCAATTGAGCGAGCATGGACAATTAACAATACAAAATGAATCATAAGAACGTTTAATCTACGCAATTTTTCACACAGCAACTGAAAGGACATGATTGAAAGAAATGGGAATTGAATTCAGAGTCAAGGTGTGAGAGAGAGAGAGAGAGAGTTGTACCTTCGATTGTCATCGCCATGTCTGCAAATTCAAAGGTGCGAAATTGAATAACAATTATACGTATTGGGAAGAGGTATCGAACACTTTGAATGTGTTCGATGGTGACGAGAGAGAATAAACTGAAGAAAGAATTCGGGAAGTAATCTGTGGTATGGTGAATTGGTCAGTAGTGGGCTTGAGCAGCCTCGCCTCGCTTTAATTTACATAATTTTGATTTATTTAAATTAATCACTCTTTATTTAAATTAATTTTAAAAATAATTTGTATCACCCCCAATTACTTTTTATAATTCTCTAATTTCTCAAATAATAGGTAAAATAAAATGATTGATACAAGTTATATGTGATTGGATTTTTTACCTGGTGAACTTAATTTAGTTCCGAGTAATGCTATATGAATTTAAAAATTATATTTGATAATCACAATCATTGAATAGTTAGTAGGTCCTAATAAATACTGAGATCCACTAATTATCGAATGATGGAAAAATTAGAAAGAGGTACACCAAATTAGACATAATTATAAAAAAAATACACAGAAAAAAATATTGAGTAATTAAGTTCTTAATTTTGATACTTATTTGTATCTAAGTACATTATTTAAATTTTACTGATTTTTATATGACATTTTTACCCTCCATTAATCCATGTGTTTTTTTTTTGGAAAGTGGTGCATTAAATATTTCTTAGTTTTATGAGAAGACTTTAATATATATACTTGTTGTTAAATATCTTATCTAAATTTTGAATTATCTTTAATGCATCTTGATTCATACATTTTTTTTTAAATCGTTTTATTTTTAAATTAATTTAATATCCAAATAGTATAATAATGTAAAAATAACAGGGTAACAACAATAGTGTAACAATAATAGTATAATAAGCTATTTAAACAAAATATTGTATTATTACATTTTGTCAAACATATAGTTTCATATAATTTCATTCAAAATAATTCATCTCCGTTTTGAATTTGTTACCACATGCACAAAACTACTGAACATTGTTTTTGTTACACTGTTATTGTTACACTATTACAATATTTGGATATTAAATTAATTTGAAAATAAAATCATTTTCTAAAAAAAAACATATGAATCAAGGTACATTAAAGATAATTTAAAATTTAGATAAGAGATTTAACAAGTATATATATATATATATATATATATATTAACAACACACATGAATCAAGGTGCATTTAACAAATACACATGAATCAAAGTGCATTAAAGATAAGAGATTTTGAATTAAATGACCCTAAAATGAACATTTACGTCTTTGTATCTCAGCTGTGTACTTTTTTTTGAAATATTTTTTTTTATGTACTTTTTGTCAAATAAGTCTAATTAGGTATACCGATTTTCAAAGAACCCTTCAATAATTATAATTATCAAATTTAATTTTTAAATTCATATAACATTGTTTGGTAGTTACAAACCCACCCATTTTTTCGGATTTTCCAGTCCTATTTAGACTTATTTTTAAAGGAACATCTTAGGATCAACGGTGATTATTCATTATTTTCAGTAACCGTCAATTACACTATCTTCATAACAAGGAAAAAAAATGTTAAAATGTCAAGTGTGGAACCCCTTTCGTGGGTGCGACCATAGTAGTCCGAACTGGCGAGAAAAAGGAATTAAGCGGTGGAAAATCACATGTGCTCTTGAAAATCGACTTAAGTCATAGTCTAATTCAGCACTATAAAGCTATCAATAAGAATAACAAGAATATCTGTGAATTAAACTTTGCTTACTAATTTAGTAAGAATAACGAAAAATCCTAAACGAAACATTACAAGTCCATGGACCACTAACCCAATGGTCCGGTTTTTTATTGAGTCATGTTCTGAAACGTCCAGTTGATAAATATCCCCTCTCCCACCCTCACTCCATCCAAGCATTCCACCATATCCACGTCCCACCCAAATCAAATTCATCCCATCCCAACAGCCTTTCGAAAAAACTGACCTTTGAAATGAAAAGTTATGAGGTGATTAAAAGTGAAAAAAAATGAGAATAACTGATTTCTAAAATAAAAATCAAATGAGTCATCACCTGGTCAACGTGATAGAATTGATTGAAACAATTTTACTTTTTAAAATTTGAAAATAATAATAATAATAGTTAAACTAATCACAAACAAAATTGAGAGCGGACAACTATTCTCCGATGAAAAAATATCTTTTTGGTACCATAACTTTGTAGTGGACTTTTAAGCCCTCTCTCCAAAAGGGTTCGAAGAGGCCTTTCTTTCTATTGTCCTTCAAGCTAACCTTATATGAGGGCGATCCCAAATCCCTTCCCAAACTTACTGCAGCATAAATATCAAATGTAATTGTTATACCACGTCAACGCAGTCAACAGACAATAGTTAATGGTTCAAATTTGTCATAGATTTTGACTTTGTGATTGAAAATGCAAATTGAATTTTTCAATAGAAAAGTAAAGAAAATTTTTAGGCATTATCTATTTTCAGATACTATACAATAAATCAATGTGTAGATCAAATCCAGTCAAAAAATGGGGGGAAGGATTTTTTTAAGGAAAAATATTAAGAAAAACATGATTCAAGATGCAATACAATAAAAAAAAAGTTCAATAATCCAACCAAAGGCGAAATTTTGATTCTTTGTATCCTTTTGGCGGCATTCTTTGTATCCTTTTGGCGGCATGGCCAAGTGGTAAGACTATGTATGACATGATTGAATGGTTCCGTGTTTTAATTAGACATATTTACTAACTTGTTTACCTATTAGTGGACGGTTACACCCAATCTTTTTTCCTTACAGCATACATAGTAAGTATCATCATCCAAGCATAGAATGTAATTAATTGCATCCTCGGGCAGGATGATATATCACAGGCTCTCCGGGTCTAGTCCGAAAACCCGAAATATCACCAGAATGACACCAATGGGTAATTACAAGAACTGTCTTGTTGCCTCAACTTTCGAAGGGAAATGAAATCCCATAGGAAGTAAGATGGTGTCGGGAGTGGTTCTCTCCACGGTCAGTCTGATGAAATTCACATAAACCTTCCTTAAAATTACTATGAGAAACGGAACAAGCAACACAAAGCAGAGACAAAAACGACGACAAAATAATTCCAATAAAAATAAAACCAACATAAAACAGAAACCCAACTTTGTTAGATGGCCATGTTCATAAAGATGCATTCTTTCAGTTTCAGCATGGACTACCTATGTTGGAAGTACAAGCAAACCCAACAAGAGTCTACCACATTCTAAATAGAGGACATATAACACCTCCCCAGGCGTATGATCATTTTGGCTGCAAAAACAGACATCATTTGAAGCAGTTACCGGATATCAATCTTTGACTATTGTCCGCAGTATCTTCACGTCGTGGATGGGTCTGAACAAACAAAGGAAAACATTAAACCAAGTTTCTAATTTGCACCTCAAACAAAGTGAAATGAATTGTACAAAGTGGGGTGGGGTGGGTGAGAAGACTAGTTTGAAACATCAATGGGTGTACTAGGTCTGCACTTAATCTCATTAACATGTCACTCAAAGTTCAGTTCTTGGTTTGAATGATGGACCTAATTTGGCAAGATACATTCAGTTCAGGGCAGAGTACAATAAGTTATAAACAAGGTCCCAAACTAATTTTGTTATGATTAATGATTCCATCAATTGAACTTGAAGTAAATCTCAGCTAACATGCAACGGGTGGTCCAGGTGATTCAGCAACTCCACTTAATGACCCAGTATTCTTAGACAAGGGTAAGTGTGTTGCCCTGTCTCTTGCAGGATTCAATAAGCATAGAGTATCAATTCCACCCAACTGAACTATATCTGACAGCAAGGTGACCTTTCATTCTAAGTTGAAAGCCCTTAATAATACCCAATAATATGGAAGACAACTACCTGTCTGTGTTATCAGTTTGAACACTACCAAGTCTCTTGATGATTTCCATTCCTTTGCATACTCTTCCAAATATAGTGTGCTTTCCTAGAAAACACAAAAACACAATGAAAAACGAATATCAGCCAAGGATGATTACTGATGAGGGTCAAAAAGAAGATCTGGGACAGCCAAACTTGTCATTCTCATACCAAATAATTGCTTCAAGAAACACAAGGATGACAAAAACAAATGCCAAAAGAAAATTTGAATTATGCAAATAAAAATAGCTTTTTCGAAATAATTCCCAAAACACACTTGGATGTTAATCTGTAAATTATGCATTGATTACAATCTTCTATTATCACAACCATTTATGAAAGGATGACATACGATATGACAACCCAATATGCATGGTCTAAATAAAGACTTCTACATTTTGGAGATAAATAAACTAAAACTTCTGCTGCTATAAAGGGAAAAAGGATTCCCCAAAACACTCAGAGATGTCATTAGAAAGGAGACTTAGCAACTTTTATATGAATTTTCAAGTTGATGAGATTAGTGGAGAGGCCTCAATTGAACATGGTATTCCACGTGTTTATGAATTGACCGATAATCAGTCTACGAAAATGGTTGAATTTTCCATGGGTGTGAAAGAGTAGCTTTCATACTGCTACTAAAGGAGGAGATCTTGCCAAGTGCACTGGATTTCTTGTGGATGTTCCTGCGAGAAGCCTATGCTAGGGCATATGGTGAATGCATTGGGAGTTCCTATTGATGGAAGAGGAGTTCTACGCAACCACAGTTCACGATTGAAGACGTGTAAAAGTCCTAAATCTCTGCACAACTATCCAAATAGGGTTAAAAGCAGTAGCTAACCTGGTTTCTATAGGTCGTGGTCGACAAAAACTGATAATTTGTGACCTAATGGAAAAATGTCTATTGCTATTGATACCTAAAGAAAGAGGGAATCAATGGAACCTCTTCCTAGTAATTTACGTCAACTCGATTGACTCTCTCTTCAATAACCTGTGTCAACAAACTCATGCAAGAAAAATGAAGAAGCTCAGTGTGCTGACGCAAAAAGTAGGAATCAGAGTGAATAATAAAACAATCATGTATTCAAGTCCAAACTCCAACGCCCCCACACCGCAGATAATGACGTACGGCCTCCAATCAGGCTGATTTAGCTTAACACATCCTAGATACGATCCTGAAACCATGGTAGCCTCTCCATTAGTAGGCCAACTATGATACAAGTGAACTTAAGATGAATGAACATACAAGATGCATGCCCAACAGCATAAACTTCTCTTTTCCTAATAATGGATTCTTTTCAATACACACATACAAGTTCATATAACTGAACAGTATTTTCAAGAGATTAAACATCAAAATCCAATGGTAACAGAGCAAAATCATATATTTACCATCCAGTGATTGTGTTGGCGCCAAGGTAATAAAGAACTGGCTTCCATTTGTATTAGGGCCCGCATTTGCCATGGACATAATACCAGCTCCAGTATGCTTTAACTGTGGGTTTATTTCATCCTCAAATTTTGGACTGCAACAATTAAGAGAACAACTGTCAGTCAAAAATCAAATATCTGAAATCAGAAGACCTCCATTTTCTTCAATGCATAGATTAAAGAAATAATATCTTATGCAAACTATGGTATAATAATAGTAACGGAGTATCTTATTACACGATTTTGATCTGATTGTATGAACAGTTGTAATCCAAACTTGACTATTATTGAAACTAGTCAATATGAAAAAGCTCACATGCAATTGATTGATTCCACAATGAAAATGTATGCCCCACCCAAAACTGCTTTCTCTTTCAGTTTTTAGTGGGTTACAATGGCTAATTGGCTGCACAAGCAATGGGATTCATTCACAAGTCTCTAGTACAATGATCTCTGACTTTGGCAGATGCGACAGTTGGGGGGGGGGGGCGTTTGGAAAGAGAACTATAGAACAGAGATTCGACTTGGTGTCCTTGATATGCCCATATGATGAGTCAGACTACTCAAAAGACAAGTGATGGGGATCATAGTCTGATACAACAAGCCACTTGGAATTGCAGACAGACTCCTTGAAATTGTGTCCTGACGATTTGACGTGTGCTTTTTAAATATAATCTGTGGTATAATCAGCATTTGTCATGTCAAAATTTGGTAAATATTTTACAGTGACGTGTCGCAGTAAGATTAGTCATTGGTGGTGACGTCCTGGGTTAAAGTTGACCACATTACTTCCCTTATGTAGCCATTGATTTGATGAAGTTCTTCTATACTCTAAGAAAATGTAAATGGGAACAAAATGGAACATGTAAAGGTGCTACAAAGGTAAATTAGTATACTAAAGGTCCTTAAAAAGAGTACTCAAGAAATACCAAAGGTACAACAACATACTGCCATCGAGGCCCTATAGGAACAACAGAAAAGGCCAATGAAATAGAGGGTTTCTTAAGTGGTTGCTGGAGCACTTTGCTCTGTTGCCTCTTTCCAGATGCTATAAGACCCTGCAAATGGCACCCATGTGCATGATTTCAAATGAATGGAATAGGGATAGGAGAGGGAGAAATAGGGGTGGGAAGAGACCAAGAGAAATAAACCTACACTGGCTATAGCTAGTTAAGTGCAGTTAGAGAGAGTGTTAAAGATGGTCACAGATAGAAGAAAACAGAAATATTATGTAAGTGGACACCAAACCCCTCCCCCCCCCCCCTTCCTCCATTCCTTTATTAATAGCAACCAACGCTAGACTTTTGCCTTCCAGATTTCTCCATTTTTCCTTCATGCAAATTTTGAAAATGACACTCATATCTTATGTCCCTCAATAAGTGGGAGTGGTTTGCATAGGAACCAAATATGACATAAGCCAATTCTATGTAATTATATGCAGATAAAGCAATTGTGACCCCCTTTCTGGCTGATTTAGTATTAAAATTTTGGGTGCAATCATTATACCCCAAAAGATTATCGTCGATTAAAAGAACTTGCTACAAGGAGTTTGTCTACATATGAAGATATGGAGTTGGCCTATGCAAATATAGGTAAAGTCATATGTGAAACCACAAAAAAAAAAAAAAAGTTGTCTCAGTTCTAAGTTGTGTACAAAAGATGTTAGAGCATCACCTCAAAACCAACTGACAATGTGTGGAGTGACCCCAAAAGTACATAAATCAACTATAAGTTGTTCTAATCTTTCGATTTGGGAAACAACTTTTTTTAAAAAAGGCATGCTGAAATCTTGAAGAAAGAAAAGTTATAATAAATCATTTTCGGTTAAGTCCCTGCAAGTATAAGTACACAAAGAAAATGACGATAGAGATGTTCTTGCCACCACATAAGAAACCGCTTCATTTATTGTTCATTTTTGTAGCTTCTACAAGGTTCAAAGTATCCACCGATACGAGTCAACCGAGTCTTTTTCGACTTAGCATCTTCTAAGACAACACTATTACATGTTACGTGACAAATCCAAATCTTACACGACTCGACCGAGTCAACTGAGACGTAATCAACCCCAAGTCGCTGAGTTATTGTCACCAAATAGACCGTACCATTCTACAACACTGCTATATGCTTGAATTTCTCGCCATGTCCAATTTCTTTTGCTAGGTCGTATTGTTTGACCGATAAATCTCAAAATCCTCCGAGTTTAGTGCCCGATACCGCAACCTTGAACCATGAGCTTATAGGGCCTCATGACCAATTAAATTCTATTTTTGTTATTTTTCTAGTACTTATAGTTGCTTTCATTGTTCCGTAGCCTGGCAATTTACACCCTAGCACCCATTTATTTTCTAGCATCACTAGATTCGCTAGTTACATTAGCATCTCTTATTGGCAGTTGTTGCCTTATTATACTTCAAGAGTAAAAGAACTTCATTAGTTTATAGTGCCCATAAACTATAGCAGGCTATGAAATTATCCCCATAATTTCATAGCCCGCTATAGTTTCAAAAGCCACGAGTGAACTACCAAGTCCTTATTTCCAGGACAGTGGCAGTTTTAAGTGATGGGCCCCTCAACTTTTGCTTCCCAACATCACCTAAGATTGACTTTAGGCCGATCAACCTAATGAATGCTTATTTGGGACACCTTTTAAGTCAGGCACCCCTTGTCAATTAGCAAAGGACCAGCCAATATACAACCCAAACTATAACTCAAGTCTAAAAACTCAACACATATATCAAATTATAGGACATATAAACCACAATTCTTGACCATAAACAACTATGTACCCACGCAGAAGTTTTTACAAGCAAAAACCACTAACAACTGCAGGCAACAAGAAATATAAAAAGCACAATAAGACACATTTTATCATACAAGAATTCGAAAAATGAAATAAAAAGAACATACCCGTATATAGATTCTCCACCCCTTCCAGTCCCAGTGGGATCCCCACCTTGCACAACGAAATCCTACACCAAAATTCACAGATTAGCAGTCATGTCAATTAGTAATTCCCTCTACACACACAAAGTAATAATGTGTTTATATTATGCTCCATTTGGTACAATGGATAAAAAATTGAAAGGAAAGAAAAGTGTGAGGAATACACTTTCCACTCTTGTGTATGATGGATAGAAAGTTGAAAAAATTAATTTTTCGTACTTTGGCATCGGAGGGAAAGTGGAAGGAAAGAAAAAATACATGCACTTAATTTATCATTATACTCTTATATATAAATAATTTTTTATTATAAATAAATTTAAGGGATTCAGTCTGGTTATAATTAGTTATAAAAATAAATAAACAAAGATTCCTCCAAAAAAATTTATACCTCCCACTTTCCATCCTTCTATTTTTTTAATCCATTCTACCAAACGAACCATTAGGGTTTGGGTCCAGCTTAAATTTTCAGTCATTCAATGGGCAAACTACATTCACTTATACTTTCTGGAAGAAAAATACAACATTATATTCCCAATTCACATATACATTTATCTGTGTAGAGAGAGAAGACCTTGATGATTCTGTGAAACTTGACGTTGTCATAATAACCTCTGCGAGAGAGCTCAATAAAGTTCCTGCAGGTTCTTGGCGCGTGCTTATAGTACATCTGTTCCACAAATTTTTCACACTTAAAATATATACAGATAAAGGCAGAGAGATTTGTGCGAGGGAGAGGAAGGATGATACCTCAACGGTGAAAGAACCCATGGAGGTCTCGAGAGTTACCTCCGGCGGCCCTCCTTCTGCACTTGGCCACATCTCTACCGCGTAAGAGAGAGAGAAATGTGAAACAGAGAGGACTGACTGACTAGCGCTCCCAAAACGTTAGTATGGCTGTGGGAGGTGGATCCAAGAGTGATAATGGGTCGGGTCAGTACTGGTCCGTCCTTGGATTAAAGTATTAGGGGGAGAGTATGTAGTGGTTTAGTTGACTGATCAGGGGAATAAACATTATTACTTATTGCTGATGATGCACAAAAGTTTTTATATGAAATTAATTAATGGATGAAGTAAGGAGGGTTCAACACATGCAACTACAAAAGATTGGATGAATTCGATTAGGAAACCAACTCCATTGGAAAGGACTACATGGCCAGAGAATTTTATTATTCAAGAGTGTAGTGTGTTGAGATATGTGTAATGTCTGTGTATAGGTAAGACTTACAATTTATTGAAAAGTACAATTTATTGAAAAGTACAATTTTCATGGCCTTCTAGAGCGAGTTTTGATGGAGACATCATCGTTGAGAGCCCTAATTAGGGGTGTTCACCGTAGGGTAGAAAAAATGGTCTTCCATCTTTCTACTCGATAATTTGCAGAAGAATTTTTTCTTAGTCTACGCTACCCGATCAACTGTAGTATTTCTATTCAAATTTCGTCCAAATTAATTGGTAGGAAATCGGAAGACCATAATCCAAGAGACATAATCAACATTTTGTGGTTTAAGAGAAGTAATTGACCATTTTGTGGTTTAAGTAATCAACATTTTATGTAGTGATCATTCCAAATAGAAGCAAAAAATAAAATTTGGTCTAAGAGCCAATGATCCATAGAGACAAACAGTTATACATAAAATCTCAAATCTGGATTGAAAAGCAAAACCACCAACCATTGAAACCCTTTCTTGACCTGGATCAATAAGCAAAACTCTTTCTTGGTCTGGATTGAAAAGCAAAACTACCAATTGTAACCCTAATCAATAACCTAAGCAAACACCACCAACCATTGAAGTGAACAAATACATATACATCATATCCATCAATCGATATCTAGGACAATCAATTTGCCCCCAAATAGTCAACTGAGAAAGAGAGAAAGAACTTGGGACTCGAAAAAAAGGTAGTGAGAGGAGCGATTGTCTCTAAGACTCGAAAAGGAGGAGGCGATGAGGTGCTAGGGATCGGAACAGAAGAGCATAGATTGATAACAGAGAGGCGAGAGAGCAGAAAGAATAGAAAGGACGAGAGAATAGAGATGGCGAATGCGTTAGGGATTTTAGATATATAAATAAATAAATAAATATATATATATATATAGACACACACACACATACATACATGTATATATTTACATATATGCGAATAACATACGGTAGAAATACAAAAATTTGATGAGTATTTCACATTTCTATCCGATTTTTTCGATTAGCTAAAGGGTCAGGTAAGGTCGAAAATTATGCATAATCGAAAATTTGAACACCCCTAGCCCTAATTAAGGTATTACCCTTGTGACAGGAGTTGGTGGCTTCATGATGTTGGCGTAACAGACAAGGTAATTGAGATTTATGATGAGTATTTTGATTCATTTCCTAAGATGGAGATCTTACATGCGTTACTAATATACTAGGTTTTCCAAGATGATGGGCTTGGCTGGGGCGGACTGCACCTATGACTTGGGCTTGGTCTGTATTTCTAAATTGAGCCTGTAAGTTGGGCCTACTCTTTAATTTTGGACTGGGCTTAGTCTGGGCCGAGCTCGTCAATAATAAACCAATATTGTATGTGAGAAGTAATAACTTTGTTTGCAAAATATTATTTTCTTTAATCCTCTTGAACGAATTTTGTGTATTAAATATGATATAATAAATGTAAATGTGTTATTTAATGTCTATCAATTAGGAAAAAAAAGCAGAGTATGTAATTAAAATGTTCACCGAAAATAAAATTTATGGCTCCACCCTTGTTGGCATACAAAATCATGTTAATCGGATAAACTAAGATTGTCTCGCAATATTTGAACTTCGGTTGCCGAAACATTAACCTTTTATGCCTTTCTTTCCAGATGAGCTATTTTGTTGTAACATATGTCATTCTTATTTCTCTATTTATAAAGCACAACCTTACCTTCCGGTAAAAATACACACACACACACACAACCTTGGTGCCCTCATCAACGTCACACTATGGTGAAAGAGAAGCCCATACAGTATATAATAAAACCTCAACAAAGAGGAAGATGAGAAATAAGTTTTGTCCTTCACACAAAAGAGTGAGCTAGGTTTTTATTTGTGTGTGTGTCTTGGAGGGACAGGGGGGAGAGGACTGACTCACTAGCACTTCCAAACTTGTTAGTAAATGGATTTGGAAGGTGGAAAAAAAAGTCAGAAATGGGTCGAATTTGGGGTGGTTCGTTCTTGGACTAATGGATTAGGGGGAGAAGGTAGTTGTTTAGTTGACTGATTAAGGGAATAAACTTTATTAGTTGTAGGAAATCAGTACTTTACGTTGAACTATGATAATTTTATTCCCACACTTTAAAAAATACCATAAAGTCCCAACTATGTGCCATAAAACTCATGCTTATAACGACAATTCAAAATGCATTATCAACTTATTCAACTCCGTATATTGGGTCAATCACTATGTTTACACTCAATAACCGCTTATGCTTCTTATGCGAATGAAGTGATGGGTAATTTTATTCCCACATAGTTGGACAATTCTACCTATTTATGACATGAAGAGACAGTTTAGGATCAAAGTGGCTAACATCATTTGTTCATAAGTCTGTGAGACTTGGTCACCAATGAGCGATTTAGTGTCTCTCTGCTCCATCACAGTTTTTTGCCTTCTGAATCCAAAGGGTCAACATAAAATAACTCAAATCATATAGGATAAAGTCAGTAACAACTCTTCTGCTCCATCAACTGAATAACAGACTCAATTTTAAAATTCATATAGTACAATGCCTTTCAACTAAACCTTCTCATCCACTGTATATAATGCTCCTCCATCTAGCCATTTTTCATCAAAAGCATTGTGCCTCTCATATTTCAAGGAAAACCACAAGCTTTAAACCTCTCTCTCTCTCACTAAAATGGAGAAAGGCAATGCAACTGCAACGATCAATATTGCAGAGACAAGCAGCGAGAGGAAGGGGAAGGCACCACTTCTGGCAGCTCCAATGGAGCATGCAAAGGGAGGGTACAAGAGGGGAATTGCGATATTCGACTTTGTTTTGAGGCTAAGTGCCCTTGTAGCTGCTTTAACTGCCACAATCACCATGGGAACTACTGATCAGACTCTCCCTTTCTTCACTCAGTTCTTCCAGTTCCAAGCCAGCTATGATGATCTCCCTGCTTTTGAGTAAGTCAGTTCTGGCTATTCGAAATGACGTCTCAAATCATTTGTTCAAATCTTGCCGTGATGAAAGTCTCGTTCACTCGTCTTCACTTTATAATGATTCTTATGTCAGCAAAACACACAAAACAAAAAAGATTACAAATGATGGATGAGGTGATCCAACCCAAAGGTTTTCAAAATCCTCTTTATTAAATTACATTACATAGGTATAGATACCCTTTTGTACTTAGTTTCGCCCTTGTACAATTTCAAAGTTTTTATAAGTCCCCCTATACTTCTGTAGCTAACTAAATTCTTGAATCCGTCCTTGATATTGTGAAAATACAAAAAAAATAAACGGTACTGTATTCACACTTTGCAGGTATTTTGTGATCACAAATCCCATAGTCCGTGGCTACCTTGTCCTCTCCATACCCTTCTCTATTGTTTGCATCGTCCGCCGCCCTCACGCAGTAGGACCAAGGCTCCTTCTCATCATCCTTGACACAGTAAGTTCCCAAGTCCCCTAACATTAACATTATCACAGCAATTCATCCCTCTTGTATTTTCATTACATAACTTCCTAAGTGACAATTTTTTTCTTGTTTCATTGCAGGTAATGGTTGCTTTAACCACTGCGGTCGCTAGTGCAGCTGCAGCCATAGTCTACTTGGCTCACAACGGTAACCCAAGCGCGAATTGGCTGGCAATCTGTCAGCAATTCACCGATTTCTGCCAGAAAGTCAGTGGAGCGGTGGTGGCGTCGTTCATCACGGTGGTTATGTTCTTGTTCCTGGTTGTGCTGTCTGCAATCGCCCTTAGAAGAAACTAAAGGATGAAACTGTTTTAATTAATTTGATTTTTATTTTGTTCATGGTGTGTGTTCTTGTTGGTGTTTTAACTCTTCTTCTTCAAAAATGTGTCTGTAAGGTTTGTGGAATTAAGGAATTGCAAGGCAAGGTTGTGTATTTGTGAGCATTTTATTTGCAGTTTTTGTAATCAACAACCATGCTTAATGAATTGGACATGTTTCACTCTGTAACCTTTGGTGCCACAGTACTTTTTTTTTTCTTTTTCTTTTTCTTTTTGGGTTATTGTTACAGTAGTTTTTTATTTTAATTTTTTCAACGTTTGTTCGAACCAGCTTACGTGCATCTTGATTAATTTTTTCCTCACTCTGGTCAAAAGTAAGTCATTCACGCAGAAACTAAAATATTTATTAGGGACAAATCCCTCATTATTTGGCCCTAATAAATTATCAAGATTTGAACTCAAGACGTGTGAATTTACAGCTCGTCCTTATTATCACTTAAACTATTTACAGAGAAGCAATGTTATTTCTTGAGTGAACAATAATTCAGAACAAATAGGAGGTGTTTGCAGATATTTGGATTCCTCCAGTATACCTTGCTTCATGTTTTTTTCAAGGGTACAATATTTATCCCGACTATATACAAGTACATTGAGCAATGAATAAGAATCAGTTTGGATTTCGAATCTTATTAACACATATTTGCAAAATCCGGTTTTATTTTCACATTTATATTTGAATTCGATACAATTTTAATATTTGATTGGACCGAACAACTGAAATAGTTGAATTTTATCTTAATTTGAACACATATTATTGATGATGCATAAAAGTGAGTTTATGCAAAATTAATCAAGGATGCAGTAAGAGGACTCAACACAAGCAAACACAAACATTAGGTAGTTCGGTTTGGATGACCTACTATAGTGAAAATGGCTACAGTGGCGGGAGAATCTTAATTTTCAAGAGGTGCAGTGTGTTGAGATGTGTGTGATGTCTCTAATGCGGGGTTTGCAATTTATAGGCAAATGAAGTTAGCCCCGAGGGGCTCTAACGAAGGCATCATTATCGTAACAGGAAGCGTGGTAATTCTGTGAAAGCTCGCGCTATCTTCGTAACGGATGAGGTGATAGCGGGGTGATTCATTGAAGCTCGTCCTATCTTGTAACAGGCAAGATGATTTTGCGACGATGTGCTATGATGACTGTGTCCTTACGGATTCTCTCCTCAAAGATGGAGACTCTTATGTGCGCTAGTGACAGTTTACGTTTCTCAAAAAGGTGGGCTTTGGTCCAACTGAAATTGTAGCTTGACTTTGTTGGTTCGCATCTGTGATCTAGGTTTGATCTGTAATTTTGGGTCTGGTTCATCAATTTTATCGAAATTTCACTTAGTAAAATATGATATAATAGATCATAAATCAACAAAATTCAAATTTAGGATCCATCTAATTGATAGGTCTATATCAAAATGAGTTATCCACCAATATGTTCCTTGTTATTTACTATTGAGAAGAAATGTTGTGGTTCTCCAAAATAAATTTTGATCCACAAACGCATCAATTAATGTGTTTAGTTATAAAATGTGATGGGTGGTATTGATATTTTTAAAAAAATAGTAGTTGCACACGTGTGTTGCACGTGAATTCTAAATATGAAAAATTATAGATCGAAGTTATGGACTAGTCTCTTCAAAATCCACGACCTGTGTCAACATTGTTGATCCAACAATCAACAATCATGTTTTATACAAAAACTACTAAAAAGACATAACTAAACTCATATATCATAGAATATTTGTTTTAATTACATTGGTCTCTATTTCATCCTTGTAACTCATGTTTTTACAAATTTTTCTTCTATTCTTGTTGGCAACATAGACAAAGAACTTCTACCATCCTCGAAACAATATCTTGTATAAATTAACAAGGCAAAAAAGAGAAAAGTGCAACTAAAATTCATCAAATAACAGATTGGTGAACATCAATTTTTGTCTTCTATGAACCTATAATTTTTGTCTTCTATGAACCTATAATTGTAAGAGGATGTGTCCATTACAAGAATTTGTAGGACCATTTAGCTGCACCAAAATCACCTTCTTCAATGGCGTCTGCACTAAAAGAGAGATTACCTTCCAAATAAAAATAAATAAATAAATGAGTGAGAAATGCCAATAATGCACATGGTCTAGAGAGATTTGTGATGTTGTATAAGAATTCATGACTTACAAGTAACTATGTTAATACACAATAACTTCTCAGCCTTAGGAATGACCATTTTGGTCATCTCAAACAAAAGTCATGAATTCCTCTATTGATGATGACATATTTGAATGTAGAGCTTATTTGGCGTCCCAATATTAAATACTGAATTCATCATTCACATAAATTTTTTTAATGTTTTATGTCCAACCCGCTAGCAATGAATAAAAACAATAAAAAAGCCAAAGCAAGAGACCAGACCATGGTTTTTTTACTAATTCCACCTTCTCAACTTAAAATACGGTATTAATATGTATGTCCCATGACTTTGCCCCTGATATCAAGAGATTTTTATAGGATTTATTTGGAATAGAATGTAAAAGACAAACTCACTTAAGGTAAGTGATTAAGTTAACAAATGAAAGTGAAAAAAAATAAAAATAAAAATTATGTGCTAGATACTCCAGAAACTCAAAATGCCAATGAAATTTGATATGCATCTCCGATTTCACATATCCTCATCGAAGTCATATCACTCTTTTTTCTATTCCAATTACCTTAGCAGTCGAATTTCATTTGATTTTGCATACTACTTCACAAAAAAACACCTAGAGATATACTACACAAATAGCTCTTACAATGGTAATCGTAGGAGACAAAAAATTAACTAAGAGCCATCTTACCATATGATTCCAATGGCAGAATAGAGGACAAAGTGCTTGTCTACATTATTATTCAAAAGGATTTATCAATCATTGAACATGATAAAAAGATAAATACACATATAATAACCTTCCAATCAATTAACCAGTTAGTTACATATGCTTCAAGNATAACTAAACTCATATATCATAGAATATTTGTTTTAATTACATTGGTCTCTATTTCATCCTTGTAACTCATGTTTTTACAAATTTTTCTTCTATTCTTGTTGGCAACATAGACAAAGAACTTCTACCATCCTCGAAACAATATCTTGTATAAATTAACAAGGCAAAAAAGAGAAAAGTGCAACTAAAATTCATCAAATAACAGATTGGTGAACATCAATTTTTGTCTTCTATGAACCTATAATTTTTGTCTTCTATGAACCTATAATTGTAAGAGGATGTGTCCATTACAAGAATTTGTAGGACCATTTAGCTGCACCAAAATCACCTTCTTCAATGGCGTCTGCACTAAAAGAGAGATTACCTTCCAAATAAAAATAAATAAATAAATGAGTGAGAAATGCCAATAATGCACATGGTCTAGAGAGATTTGTGATGTTGTATAAGAATTCATGACTTACAAGTAACTATGTTAATACACAATAACTTCTCAGCCTTAGGAATGACCATTTTGGTCATCTCAAACAAAAGTCATGAATTCCTCTATTGATGATGACATATTTGAATGTAGAGCTTATTTGGCGTCCCAATATTAAATACTGAATTCATCATTCACATAAATTTTTTTAATGTTTTATGTCCAACCCGCTAGCAATGAATAAAAACAATAAAAAAGCCAAAGCAAGAGACCAGACCATGGTTTTTTTACTAATTCCACCTTCTCAACTTAAAATACGGTATTAATATGTATGTCCCATGACTTTGCCCCTGATATCAAGAGATTTTTATAGGATTTATTTGGAATAGAATGTAAAAGACAAACTCACTTAAGGTAAGTGATTAAGTTAACAAATGAAAGTGAAAAAAAATAAAAATAAAAATTATGTGCTAGATACTCCAGAAACTCAAAATGCCAATGAAATTTGATATGCATCTCCGATTTCACATATCCTCATCGAAGTCATATCACTCTTTTTTCTATTCCAATTACCTTAGCAGTCGAATTTCATTTGATTTTGCATACTACTTCACAAAAAAACACCTAGAGATATACTACACAAATAGCTCTTACAATGGTAATCGTAGGAGACAAAAAATTAACTAAGAGCCATCTTACCATATGATTCCAATGGCAGAATAGAGGACAAAGTGCTTGTCTACATTATTATTCAAAAGGATTTATCAATCATTGAACATGATAAAAAGATAAATACACATATAATAACCTTCCAATCAATTAACCAGTTAGTTACATATGCTTCAAGACTTTAGTTTGATAGTTTAATGCATATTGGATCGATCAACTAACTCTAAAAAAATGATACCACTAGACCACATTTATTCTTTATAGAATATACTCCCAGAGATGCCGTAGCATATTGTCCCATTGCTATTGGGAGTCCTCCAGTTTTTCCTCCTCGATGTTTTCTATAGCCTTAATATCATATACAAATTACAATAGAACATGGATCTCATGTTGACCTTTTTATTTATCTTTCCAGTCGTTTACCACTTGGTGAATCTGTTACACTATAAATTTTATTTTTGACAAATTTTTCAGAATATCGAAAGACTTGACCAAACATACACATGTCGGGGATTAAAATAATGAGTATATATTATCAAAAATCCAACCTGTTAAAAGCATTGAACCTTTCATTTAAATCAGAGATCAAATAAACTTCATATTGCATGTATATTATGTTGGTGGGCTAATAGCATTCATTAGAGAACATCATGAAAGTGATAGAGAATCATTGTTGTGCATTTCATTAGAAAACATGAAGAAAATATTGGAGAATTAGTATTAAGAATGAACAAAAATAGGGAAAAAATTAACCAACCCCAAGCAATTGAATCAACACCAGACCCGATATTGACGTCAACAAAATCTACACCTCTATGGTCTATGGCTCCCCCATTTCTACAAACTTTTCAATACCATTTGATCTCAAACTTGCAACAACTTCATTACCTGTGTTTCAGAAGGGAAAAAAAAGGCAAAAAAATTGCAATCTCAATTAGCTATATTTTATGAGTTATATTGGTATCATCAAAATCATGTCTAATTCAACAACTTAAACGAAATTTGTAGACTTCAAAGCAGGGAAGATAATAGAAAGAAAACTTTTAACAAGACTAACAAGAATAGATACATGAATCTATATATTTTATTCATACAGAAAGGCATACCATACATACCATCGGCACATAGACTTCAATTACTTTCAAACATTTTTTACTTATGTTGATAGTAATGGACTCCAACATCAACCAACTGAAATGCAAAATACCAAAAATTATGAAAACCAAAAATAGTGGGACTCTATATTTGAAAAGTTGAAGACTATAAAAAACTAATATTAAGGGACCTATATATTGGAAAAGTTGAGGTCTCCAGAGGGTTCATAAGAAGTTAAAAAACCTTATTCACCAAGTCTTGCAAATTTGCTCAAAGAGCTCACCACCAATCACTACATACTTTATGGGAGAAGAAAACCATCCACCACCAAGTATTTAATCATTGAAGTTTATTTCTATAGCATTCTACACGAAACCCATTAATGAAAAACAAGGGAAAGGGGTACTTACCTACTTGAATCAAATAATGTTCAGATGTTAAAATGATCCAAGGTTTATGATATCTCACAACACAATGTCAACGATTTGTAAATAAACTGTACCATCATATGAACAAAAGCTTTTATAGTTAAATAAGAATATACTGTTATTCAATCCAAATTACTCTAACTAAGTTAATACATCATTGATCAATCTGCTAATGTTGTTCAAAAAAAATATCTAATCTAAGAAAAAATTATGAAAAACATAATATAAAGGTCCCCTAAGTTAAAAAATGGGTACCATGTTGAAGCAGTGCCACCGTCTTTCCAACCCACAAGCAAAAGCATTGCACGGTTGGCATTGTTAATTGCCCATAATAGCATATGCATCTTTAATGCATGCTTGCATATCAAAACAACACCAATAATACCCAAGAAACATAATCAACCCATTAGCAGGATTTTAAGGGTTTTTCCAGCGAGAGTCAATACTTCACATTGTAGAATCATAGAGGCCTTGTACACAAAAAAGATCCAAACAAAAAATCACCACTTTAGGTCAATCATTTGAATCATCCCCTAAATTAAAAGTATCAATAAGTACCAAAAGAATCGAAAAGTCAAAAAGTTTCGTTGTCAATTCTTACCCAATAACATTTAAATATAAAAAATCACATACATCCATACATAGGAAAAATGAGGGCTTCCAACCCCAAGAAGAATGGATCTCTTTTATACACATAACATTATGAACACAGAGAGAGAGAGAGCGTATGATATCGAAATGTGTACTGGCATTGAGGTAAGTGACGGCGATGCGATGCCATTGAGAAGGGCTTGCTGTAGAATGAAGGACTGCGCTGTACGAATGAATGAATGCAATTGCCGATTGGTGTCGCTATAAGCAGAGAAGAAGAAAGGTATTGAAGGACTATCACACTTACGCAATCACTTCCAACATAAGGTTCATTCTGTTGAGAATTTACTATCAGAATTGGTAGCATCTAAACTTGAATGAGTAGTATGATTTTTTTTTATTTGTAATCGATATATTTACTTCAGCTATAATGGTTGAAGAAGTGATCGCGTGGCTAGTCGGTGAATACGCTGGGGGAGAAAGAGAGGGAGAGAGAGAATAAATAAATTCTAACGTAGAATTCTAGGAGGCGGTGTGATGACCGGTGCTTTAGGTTTGAGTTTAGTTGAAAATACGTTAATTCTGGCTTTATTATTGAGGGATGAGAATGTCATAGTTATAATTTTTTAGGGTAGAAGTGGAAAAATAATGTTTTTCAGATATACTGATATTTTAAAGTAGTATAGGTAATAAATTAATTAGGTTTATTAGATAGATATATTTTGTCAGACATTATTATAAACATTATTATTAGAGACATAGGACAATAAGGTTTGAACTTGTGACAACGGAACGATGACTATTAGGTCCGTTGCTAACCTCAATAATTAGTTATATATTTGTTAGGATTAATCTCATTTTGAACTCAAAAAAAAAATACTTTGATTTTTAATTTATATCTTCAAACATTAAAAATTTTAATTTGTACCTTTAATATTATAACGTAGACCTCATTTAAACTATTGTTTAATTTTTTGTCATAAAAGCACATGAGTTGCAAGTACTTCGAGCATGAGAATGATGTATGTTTATCACTATAGATCTCATTTATGATTAATTTGACGTCATTTTTTGTATCAAAAATAAGATTTCATTATGTTAAGTTTATCATGTGCAACTGAAGCGTCAATAGTCTATGAAATTATATATAAGCCCCTGATTGAAGTATTTGTAACTCACGTGCTTTAATTTATGATAAAAAACTAAATAGTAGTCTAAGCGAGGTCTACATTACTACCAATTCATATTATTAAAAGTATATGTTAAAATTTTTAATATTTGAAGGTATAAATCGAGAACCAAAACATTCTAAGGGTATAAAGTGACATTAGTGCCCATTATTATTGAGTGATTAGCTAAATTACCAAATTGGTGATTTATTGATCAGAAATTGAAGTTTTAGAGACTGAGAAGGTCCAAATCCGAAGAAGAAAGTCTCTCTCTCGCTCTCTATCTCTCTCCATAATCCCTCTTTCTCTGAACACAGTTCCGCACAGATACTTATCGATCACAGTGTTCGAAATCAATATCAGAAGACGATTCGTTTCGTATTGGGTTTAGGGTTTGGTTAGTTCTAGTAAGAATGTCGCAAGGCGGCAAGTTAATGCCGAATCTGGACCAAGAGAGCACAAAACTCCTAAACCTTACTGTGCTCCAGAGAATCGATCCATTCATCGAAGAAATCTTAATCACCGCCGCTCATGTCACCTTCTATGAGTTCAACATCGACCTCAATCAATGGGTTTGTTCCCAATCTCTCTCTCTGTCTATCTCTCTCTGCTTGATAAATCATGTTTGATTCCTCAGAGAAAAAGAAAAAACTCAAATGGAGCATATGAATTAATATCTATAATTGCCTTATTGTTAGATTTGGTATTTTTTTTCTTATCTGCTTCAGGCTTTTAAATATAAAGGTCTTGGATAGTGGTTCTTTATTTTCGTTACAGAAAATGTAGGGAAAAGGAGAATATGTAATTACTCAGTGTGGTCTGATTGAACGAGGATACTATTAAGGATTGATTAGGTGTAGAGCTGAACTCTGGATAGGATTGTACAAACTGGCTGCCATCGTATTTGAATCCACATCCTTACATTAGTCTGAGCATATTATTACTGCACCTGGGAACGGACCCCTTATGTTGAAGAAAGAGAGAATAGAATTTTGAGCATGTATTATATATGTATGTGTTTTTTAGGTTTGTGAAGTGGGAATTTCGGTATAATAATTGGGGTTTAATGATCTTTTCCATTCTTAACTGGAAGTGTTCTTCGATTTCTGTTTGCTTGGTTGCTTTGTTTCTATTATAATTTTGTGTGTTTTGGCTGCAGAGTCGCAAGGACGTTGAAGGATCTCTTTTTGTTGTTAAAAGGTAATGGTGTTTACGAATGCCCGCTCATAGACTCATATTTTTTGGTTATTGCAAATTGCTTTGCGAGTTTATGTACTCATTTATAAAGTAGTTTGAAGTTAAAAAAGAAAGTGTGATGGTTTTAATTTCCAACTGCAACATCTAAAATATTAGAATTGTTGAAAGAATTGAAAGATTAGAGATCAGTCTCAAAATTTTATAGTTCAGTCTTTTGTGTTTTTGCAATGAGAGCCTGTATTTGTGGAGGGATTGTGTGGTCATACGTAGATTATTTTACCTACTGTTGTCACTGTTGTTGTAGGAATGCCCAACCACGGTTCCAGTTCATCGTTATGAACCGGCGAAATACAGGTCTGATTCCGTCTTCCACTTTGATTGTTTTCATTCTTGTTCCTGTTGTTTAGGATGCTTTGGTAACAAGTCTAGTTCCTATAATAATAAGTGCTAGCAGTTTTCGTTGATCATGGTCTGAGGTTTGAAAATTGAATAAGTGAGATCATGCAGTGCGCTTTGTCACAGTAAGCTCCTGATACCTGTGCTTTATGTGTACTAAATTCCACGGAGTCATCAATTCTCAAGTTAAGTTGAAGAAATTGATGGTGAAGGACTGATGTAGAACGGTATATTTTAGTAGTGATCTAGTTCAGTGGCTGGGAAAAATAGGGAAAAGGAAAGCGCTAGTTTCAGGTATGTCAAATTTATGCATCTTATTAATGTCTCATCATGCCATTAAGGGTGATGGTGAGAGTGAATCGCTTTCAACGACTCCTTGGTTTGCTTCAGTATGAGTACCTCCATCTATTGTGTATTCTTCTGATACATCAGAAAGTTTGACTGAATCTTATTTCGTACACAAGTTTTGATGATTTTTGTTAGATGTTAATATCTTTATCTCAAATCTGCCAATCGCCCTTTTATGAACCTCGAACTCAGCTCATTTAGTTCAATGGGAAAAGCTCTCATCTGCTCAATGTATGTTGGGATAAAATGGACTACAGTAAATATGTTTTGCACACATTCATACACCATTATGTTTTGTACTGAGCCCTTAAGATGTTTCTCTTTTTGTCAACAGATAACCTTGTGGAGAATCTCCTGGGAGATTTTGAGTATGAAATCCAAGTTCCTTATCTCTTGTACCGGAATGCATCCCAAGAAGTTAATGGTATTTGGTTTTACAATTCACGCGAATGTGAGGAGGTTGCAAATCTCTTTAGTAGGTATTGTTTCTACCCCTCCCTTTTTAACTTGACAAAATTCTATATTATGTATTCTGTTGATTGTGTAGCTCTCTTTCATTTTAATGTTTTGAGAATTAAGTTGAAATATGATTTATGGCCTTTGCTTACTTGATGTATGGATGTCATAGGGGAAATTTTTCTGCCAGTTTAACTATTGAAGACCTCTTCCTCTCATTGGGAATAGGCCTGTCAGCGGTCTGGATCTTGACCCAAATCCGATATGATGATTGCTTATTAAAATAGTTAGTTAACGTACGTTTACAGAGGTTCTCCAAAAAAAGGCATTATGTTTTGGTCTAATTCTATGATGCATCACTGCAGAGTTAGAACAGGGCAACAAAATACCATTTGTGTGTTTGGAGGGCACACTTCTGATCCACATCTCAAAATCTGGTGATCCAAAAGTTAGTTCTTCGTTGTAAATGACAATGATCACAATCAACGAATTCGAACCTAATAAAGTAGAGCTTCATAGGAGAAACGCGGCAATAGCTCAAGTTACGTGGAATATGCGAGCTTTGGTTTTTTGGAAGAAAAATGTGCACTTTTTTGAAGTTAAAATATGGCTTGTGCACTTACTTTTGTTTCTATAGATTTCAATAGAGAAATTTTCTTTCATTCGGTATTACAAACGCTTTGTTGATTATGTAGTTGATATATAAGCTTTGCCATGTCCTATCTTTTTAAATATATAGGAAACATGCTTTGGTGTCTGTAATGAGTTTTGTGACATTGTTCTGCATACCAGCTGTATATCTGCATGTACATGTCTGGTATATGCCAATACAAGAGTGTGGTTGCATAATTAAATTTCTAGATACAATGTGAAGTTATGGTTGACAATTGCAAATGCTTGGCTTCATGGTTGACAACTATAGTTTCAATAATCTGGTTTGATGGCTGCTCCCCTGGCAGGCCCCAAATCCAACCTTAACCCCAAAAACAAATCTTAAAGAAGGGCCCAAGTACAAAATAATTGATTATTAAAACAGAGATGATTAAAAGAGCATAGGGTGTGAGTGACTTGCATTCACCAAACTTTATATAAAGTGAGACGGAGGTAGATTGTTCTGTGTCTGATCAGTTGGAAGTTTTGCATTGGATTCTAGTAGGCTTAAATTGATTACTTTTACCATGGATGGACGAGATGGTTGTTTTTTAACAGTGGGGGAGGATGGCCCAGGTTTGGTTTCTTGAAAAGCCAGTTGTTATTTACTATTTTCTTAGTTGTTGGTATTGTGTTGTAGTAGACTTTTTCACGTATTTGATATCTTATCATGCCGGATATTGAATGTATTGAAGTACATCAATAGTTAGCTACTTAGCAAATGGGATGAGGTGCAAATCCTATACTGCATTACTATGTATTATACATGGTAGAAATTTGATAGCAGTTTTTTGATGCGGTGGTGGTGACTTGAGCCATTCTATTGATTGTGCTGTTCTTTGTTTAGGATACTCAATGCATATTCAAAGTTACCTTCCAAGCCAAAAGTATCTTCAACCAAAAGGTAAGGATTAATTTGTTACAGAATAAAGCATCACTTGATGAAGTAATGTGAAAAGTCATGATTATTTGTTCATTCTGTTACTTACTAGTCTTGGGTATCCTTTGTCATTGTAAATGTGTCGTAATTTATCAATCTAGGCAGCCAACAAAGAGCCCTTTGTGATTATTCAAGTGAACCGAAAAAGAGTTTTATTAAGGATGTAGAAAGGTCTCCTTTACCTCTTTGTCAATAATGACAGCGGAAATAGACAAAAAAGAAGAAATAGGAAAAACGGAGAAAACTGAAAGGAGAAGATGACAGAGAAGCCAGCAAGTGGTCTGCCAAGCCTCTGGGTCATGATAGAAATACATTGTCTTTGCCCTTTGGGGGGGGGGGGGGGG